GGGGAGGGGGTGGCTGGATGGTGAGAGAGGGGCCGGGGGGAGAGCAGTGATGGGGGCTGCCCTGGGGGGCTGAGACAGTGACAGTGCAATGGGGGGCTGAGGGGAGGGTGCTTTAAGGGGAATGGAGAGGGTCCTGGGGGCTCTGGAGAAAGTGGAATGCCTGGGAATGGGAAAGGTGGGGCCTGGGCTGGCCTGGGATGGAGAATGAGGAGAGGAGCAAGAGGGAGCTGTGGGGCAGCTGTGCTGGAGGAGAGTGGATATGGGGGATGGCCTGGGGATGAGGATTCCCAGCTGAATGGGAGCTGCTTTGCTCATGGGGAGCAGCTTAGCTACAAGGGATGACCCCAGTAGCAGGTTGGCATTTACTTGTGAGAGCTGCTGTGCTGCTGTTGTGACACAGATCAGGTGTTTCAGAGCGTCTGGCCTGGCTCTATCCAGCCTAAGGCCAGAGGAGGGGAAAATCTGTGGCCTGAGCATGTGGCCTCCTGAGCCCTAGTCTCAGCTCCCAGGGATGGGCTTTGGGCCTGGTAGGTTCATGAACTTGGTATCTCCATCTATGAGCTAGAGATAACAGTTGGCCACATGTGGGGATTAATTATCACGTCTTACAGTAACATATTTGTTTTTGTTTTGTTTTTTTTTACAATAGATTACAATGGAGGAATTCTAAAGAATCCAAGTCCCCTTGTAATGGTGTTGAACTCCATTGTGTTTCCTGAACAGAGGAAACCACTGAGGTCAGTCTCCCTTGTATCTGTAGCTGTTTTCCCTTTCAGAAGTATGGGGGGCAAAGAGTCATCAAAATAACAATTTATTCTGATGTCCTGATAATAAACGAATAAAAATAACTATAAAAATATCAAGGTTTAAAAGGTATGTTCACAGCGTTTATTCCTACTTTTAAATTCTGGATTATGTACAGAATGATAGTATTCTCAGTTTATAAAATAACGTGCAAATTTTAAGAGTTTCATGTTACCCTCAGTGTGAAATACTACCATTCTGTAAATCCAACATTACCAAAACTGCTAAAATATAACAAGCAAACAAAGCTTCTTTCCTGTTTTTCTATAAATGAAGAGTTTTGTACCGGAAGAAGGCTTTGTATCCATTGAGGATGATCTGCAGTCTCTCTATGAAAACTTCATATTTACTTTCAGGCAAGTGGAACTATGGGAATTATTTAATATGGGATGAGGGGAAATTGCATAAAGCTGAGAACAGAGGTTGACTGTAAGTAGCTGTGGACCACATCTAGTGTTTTGCAAACTTGTCACATGATGGTCTGGTACTTTGCCTTTTGAAATCCCAATAGGAAAAGTAACACAAATGTGGATCACTTCAAGCATATGTTGTTGTAACTATTGGGAGAGGCAAACTAAAGGTTTATCTGATTATCTCAACTCTGAAGTTGGCAGCTATGACAGGAAACTTGGTTTCATTCATCTGCCAAAGATATTTGTAGCATATCGCTTGACAAGTTAAAAGGCATTTCTGAAATGGCTCAAAAAATAAAACCATGCACTTTCTCAAACTACAATTTCTGTCTTGTAAAATAATATGAGTTTGGAGGCATGCTTGGGGGAAACTAAGAACATACTAGAAAAGGTAAGTATCTGTATTTAACATGAATCTAGAATTTTCAGTTCAGAATGGTCTATAAATATAAGCTTGTTCTTGTAAACTTGTACCAGTTTTGTCAAATTAGTGGTTATCGTTTCCCTTTACAGATGAGGGAACTAAATGAAACGGTAAGCAGGAGTGATCTGCCCATGGCTGCATAATGTAGGATTTGGGATCGAGTTCTTCCAAACCTTGGTCTTGTACTTCCTTCTCTGGACATGTTGCCTTTAAAGTTCACAGATGATGCGGCTAAAAGTTTCAGGTAATAAGGTCCATGGAGATAACCCACCAAATACCATCAGACTTTCTGGGCCGCTGTTCTTGTCTTTTAATCTGTGTGACACAGTGGTGGGCCCAGACTGAAATCCATGGAGTATCTAGAGTAGGCTGATGGGAGAAGCTGGAATAATGCTTCACCATTAACCATTAAGTATTTAAAATAAAATACTAGATCTACATTTGGTAAGAGTTGCCAATGGCTACTGAAAAAGTACTATATCATCTGTGGACCATGAGTTTAAGAAAAAAAAAAAAGTCTACTGAGATTCTTGTGGAAACCTGCATTATTTAAAAAAGAAAAAGTATATTGGCACCGGCTAAACTAAATAGAGACATTTAGCTTTTTCTAGCCCTTTGCTGTTAGACATTTTCTTTGCTTCCCTTTTTGATGATCACAGCAGTTATCTAGGAACTGAAATGGTTTTAGTTTAGCTTGCTAATTTACTGATGGAAATTTAGCTCACATAAAGAAACTAAACATGTTAATGTATGTTTGTAGTTGAGACTTGCAACATTTTTTCCATCAGGTAGCTATACTCAAGGTTAATACCATCTGAAAGAGGTGCCAGAACATCAGGAAATAAAAATTACAAATTGCGTAGCGGTT